CGTTTTGTGACCAGGACTAGTGTGGGACACATGCAAGCAATGGCCGTTGTACATATGCATAAAATATAAATAAAAGCATAAGTTCCAGCATACATGTGATCGCGTTTCGTTAAAGGGAACGAACAAACGAATGAGCGATTTATATACGTGAGGCAATGCACTGCGTGTGTTCATAGCTATGCATAGAATGCATATGTGCGCGATGGACTATCGGGCCCAGGTGCTTTTCTCCACAACAAACATGCCACAGAGAGAGAGAGAAAGAGAGTTAAAAAAACGAACTGAGAGTGAAGTGAATTGGAAATGGTAATGGCAAAATGCAATGAAAACAAAATTATAAAAAAATAGAAAAAAATAAACAAAAAAAAAATAATAATATTATAAAAAAACACGAGCGTATAAAGGAAAAATAAAAGAGCGCGACCACCAAAATGAAGAAAAACAAAGCATGCTCATATGCACACACTGGCGAACAAACGAGTAAAACATAAATGAAGTAAATAATAAAGGTGTGTCATTATTCCGCTTATTCTTCCATCGTGTATTTGCTTGGTGTCGTTTGTTGCTGCGGTTTTTTGTGGCTGCTGTTGTTGGAGCTGCTGCTGCTGTTGTCTTTATTCTTTTTATATTCAATGCATAGCATTTCGTGTCTTTTTATATGATTTGAATGGAAAATCGAGAAGTGTCTATGGAAAAATGTGTGGATAAAATAGAAATCGAAGTACTTCACAGGGCACAAATCAGCGCTCATTTTTAGCGTTCGCCTGCTAACTGCCTTGACCGTAGCATGCATTTTCTGGCGCTGCTGTAATCCAGCTAATCATTTTTTTTTCATTCGTTCAAAAACAACAACGAATACATGCGATGCTGTTAATACAAAATCACGCTCTCGATCATCATCAACGAACAGAGACTGGCCATAATAATCGTTTTAATATCGTTATCTCTATATTTATATGGCAAAAATAATCCGTCAATGCCTGTTTTGTTGTTGTTCAATACATTTTTCCTCGTTGCCATTCCATTTTGTGTAATCATTTCAACGTGTACTACGTGTGTAAATTTGTTGTTTTGTGCCATTACGATTTGGCTTGGTTAGAGAATGACTCTCTGCTTTGGACACTGGTCTTGGTAAGCTTGCGCTTTCAAGAAGACAAGAAAAAACGCACAAAAAATCAAAAACAAAATGAAGAACACATGTAAAATAAACTTGTTTTTGTCTCGAACAACTGATTTATCTCTTTCTAGTCGATGGATCTTATTTTTCTTTCGGTCTCTCCGTCGTCACATTCAAGCTTTAGCATCGTTCTATACACAGTGTTAGATGCGACCGCAGCTAGAGATGATAATGGATCGGCGTGCATCGAAACACCGGACACATTTATGTCGATAGAGGCATATCAGGAATCAGCTCATAATCTATTGTTTATAATAATACGAAGTAAACATACACATACCGAAGATCAAGAGCGCTTCTTCTGTTTTGTTTTTCAATAATGCCATCGTATTCATTTCTTCAACCGTATACACGCAATCGGATGAAGCTAATCCATACATTTTATTCTTATTACTTTATTAATTATCATGATGGTCGATTGCATTCACTGTACCGTTTTGTTGTTGTTCTTGTTTTTTTTTAATTTTTAAATTGATTCTTTTGATTTTGTTATTTATTTACTATTGGTTTTAATTAAACGGCATATTTGCCGATTTCTTTTTCCATCTCGTTTCATTCATGACCATTTCGGTGCGAATTCTCATGTGCATTTTATTTCCCTTTCGATGGGAATTTCTTCAGACAGCCACATCTGCTGTAAAACTCTTTTCTCTAACGAGACGATAGAAGACAGAACGGAGCAAAAATAGCATCGAAAGAGGAAAATTCAATTCACATCGACTAATATTGTGGCAAACATGCGAGCATATGAGTATGTGTGTATTACTACATCGTTGTTGCGTAGTCGAATCGAATGACAGCACACATAAATAAAATGAAAGATGTTGCAAAAGCAGCATGGGACACGCATAAAAGGTAAAATGATCAGAATCTTCAGCATCGCCAGCAACAGCAACATCAGCAACCATCAACAACAACAGAACGGAAGAAAGCATTTCATTATGTTTATTTCGATTCGTTGAAATTTCTACATTCATCAAATTAATATGCATATACAAATTATGGGCTCGTAAACAAGATGAAAAATATCACAATGGGAAAATTAATTAATTGTTGTCATTCGACCGTGATCAATATAACCTATTGACGAAAGAAAGCATATATATTTTTTTGCTTTTGTCGTTGCCGCGGTTTTTTTTTACAAACTCCAACTGATCTCTTACGACCAGTTGGGCTGGTGCTCGTTAGTTTTGCCTGATTTCAAATGCATGAATTGCTAGTTTAACGGTTTGGTGAATATTGTGTCTTTTTTCGAGATAGGTTGGTGGCGGCAATAACATCAATTTAGTATGACGTACATTTGACGATGATCAATCGCCATTCGACATAAATGGATATCTACTGAATAAATTGACTTCGTCTTAACTTTGATACCGTATATTTTATTTTCTTTCTTTTTTTTCCATTTTGTCTCTGCCAATCAAATATCAATAATAATTTGTGTGTGTGTTAAAATCGTGTTTATCACAATATGTCAAATGTGCAAAGTAAAATGAATGTTTGGGTGTGGTGACATTTCAAATTCATTTGAATTATACGTGCACGCGCGAACTTTAGCCACAACCAACACTACGTTAAGAGACCCAATTCGCCGGTTTCGGATTATTCATCAGACAGATTAGATCTCGATTTTTGGTAATTTTACGGTGGCCAAATCACCTTGTCTCCAAATCGTTTTATTACAACAAAAACAGCGTTCAATCGTAGATATTCTTACAAACGACATTCGAACTTCCGAATGGTGCGTGGTAAATATCACATCAGATCCAAATCTTTGGCAATTGATTCCTTCCAACATCGATTTAGTTTAATGTTACGATTCGATTATATCATTGCGAATGATGAAAACAACAAATTGGCTACGATTTTCCGCACATGATACGTTGACAATTGAATTTGCCATGTTGTCGAATGCGATAAACCGACAACGCGAAAAACAGCGACAACAAATCGACGATAACAATATTGTGATATATGTTGTTGTCATTTGTTAAGTAGAAATCTGGTGTGTTTTTTATTTGGTTGGCGGTTATACATCATTGTTTTGTGTTATTAGCTATTTCAACACAGTGTACACCTTGGCAACGCAAGATATATACACACAATTTACAGTCCACGTTTTGTACTTTTCTGCTGCCACTTTTTTTATATCATTGCCGTGTCTCACTTTATCACCGTAATAAAGTGTATATGTGTATGTGTGTCGCCATGGGTTTCGAATATGATTAAATATAATTTTCAAAAAAAAAAAATGAATACGCAAATAGACGCGGTGATAAGAGTAATTTCTGTTGTAACGTAGCTCTTATCTAATGAATGTTTCTTTTTGTGCTTCCGTATCAAAACTATTACAAATTAGTGGGCCAAAGACCAAAAACGGTTTAAATCGATTACAAAAAAACGTGATTCGAAATTTTAGCGAGAGAATTAAACGATCAATTGTTTTTGACCTGTTTGACGTGCTGTCTATGATTGCCAACCTTTTTTTTCTGGTACGACGGAGAGATCGCTAGAGACCCCAAACTAAAATACGGTTTGCTAAACAATAGTATAATAAATATGACTTTTTTGGGCGAATCGAACGTGCTATACGGTGACAAAATAAAAATGTCGAATGTGTTCAATAAAATTGCAAGTACGCGCGCATACAAGGCCACGCATCACCGAAAAGACAATGGATTTCCGGGCGACATATCATCGCGATTGGGCGCATAAACAAAAGAAAACAAACACAGTTAGATGAATCAAAACAATCGGCTCATAAAATGTATATGGCATGATTTTGTCTTGAACGCTTTTCGGCCACAATGTGGCCCAATCTTGCTCATTCGTTTTTTCTCTTTAAAATAAAACGTTGAACAAACATTGAAACGGTTTTTGATATCGGCACGTTTATTTCGCTATGTGTCCCACTTTTCACAGTACATTCGCCCCAAACGCCAGCAAAAAAAAATGCATAAAATACACAATCAAAATTAATTAATTAATGTAAACTGGGAGTATACCCTGAAACGATTACGTGGTATTCGGTGCACGCCATCAATATCAACAATGTTGATGACGCGATTTTATAATACATACGTACATACATACGTACAATATGTTCATTTTATGGGTCACTTGCAACAACTGACACTTTGTTATCGGCTAATCTTTAATGGGCAAACAAAAGTTGGCCTGCATGGTTTCGTCTTCGCTTTGAACATATTTGAACTCGGCGGTGGTTGTTTTATTTTTCGGTCTCTTGACGCCGTTCTTTTTCTGGTCGCTTTATTTCAATGTGCGCATTTGCTCTCGTTCCACTCGTATGCCGGTTAACGACACATAACTTCCATTCAATTTGCGATTATGTCAGAACGCACGCACATTTTTGAACTTTCATTGGCAATATGCACACTTGGCAACAGGATACATACACTCACGATAAATATGCAGAGTATTGCTCAGCGCTGCTGCCATCCAGAGCATATTTAAATATCTTGCTGAGAATGCGTCGTCCGTCGCATGCGAAGGTACGTAGCAGTTTATACATCACAGCGAACAACAATACATACATTGTTCTCTATTCAATCGTTTGAATGTTTTGAGTCACATAATCGTGAAGAGAACAATGGATTCATTCTTGTTCGCTGTGATGTATAAACTGCTACGTACGTTCGCATGCGATGGACGACGCATTCTCAGCAAGATATTTTAATATGCTGTGGATGGCAGCAGCGCTGAGCAATACTCTGTAAATATGTATTCAAATTAACGTTCAATTTTTGGCATCGTGTCGTAATGATAAATGGCATGATTAAATGATATTCAATACGTGTCTTACCTGATGTCATCAATCCAATGATTAATAGTTGTAATAGCAGCAGCTTCCAAGAGTTCATTTTGTTGTTGTGTGAGTCCTTTTTGGTCGGATTTTTTTTAAATCTACAAATCTCACTTTTTTAATGCAAGAGAGATCAATGCGATTTTTCTGTCTCTCTCTCTTGCTCGTTTTTTTTTTCTTCTTCAAATTTCGATCGAGAAACGATTATTCAAACAAAACGTTACGTTTGTACAACGACCACTTCAACGATTGATTTGTTTCGTTTCACCTTTTAATGTCTGTTAACTATCTTTCCGTCTTCGGTTTTCTTATTCTGTATTGGAAACCATAAAGAGAATACAAAAATAAATCAATATCTAAAAGAAAATTATTATTATGAGTTGGAATTTTGCGCAATAAAAATGGCACTAAAACCATGGCGTTCTGGGATATAATAATTGTGCTGCTTGGTATTTCTTCTTCATTCGTTTCAGCGCAGATTTTCACAATCAATCCTTGGAATTCAATTCAAGTGCGCCATGAATACAAAGTAAATTTTTCGCAATAAAATGCAAAACTATTTCTGGAAAATTGAGATGGAGTTTTTTTTTGTGTGTGTTTTCGTCGTTCGTTTCATTTTCGCTTTGAATTTATTAGCCGCAATTGTGTCTCCACGTGAAGAACGGAAGCCAAAATAAATCAATGGTAAACCATCTAAAAATGTTTATATACTTTGGTGTATTTTAAACCCAAACAAAGTATCAAAGCGATAATTAAAAAAAAATGCGAGAGAAGCAAACTTTTTTCTGTTGGAAAATCACACTGAGCTGTGAATAGCCGCTGCAATTACTTGTGAGCACAATCGTCAGAAAAATTCACAACACACACACATACTCACACGCATGTTCATAATATACAATGTATGTCAGTTTATTGAGCGACGAATGAAGGAAAAAAATGGTGAAAAATAACGAAAGAATGGGAAAAAAACAAATGAAAACTAATTGCAAAGACGATATAAATCACACTGACATTTGTCAGCAACGGCAGCAGCAATCTTAACTTGCTCATCGCGTCACTCATTCTTTCATTCATGGCCTCTCTTTCATTATTCTTTCTTACTCTCTCGCTCTCTCTCTCTCTCTCGATCATACATACGCTCGATCTATGCAAGAATGTGTTTAATGTGTATGCATACTATATTTATGCGTAAAATTGTGAAATGTTTCGTGCACATTTTACTTGAAAATGTTTAGCACTTCGACAACGATCGAAATTATGATTCTTATGTTTTTCTTTTTTCTTTACGAATAAAATGTCATTTTCTTTTCTTTTATTTGCCTTTATTTTTATAATATTTTATCGACAGTTTGTTGCTTTTGTTCACGCTTGCTTTTCGTCGTGCATTAGCTTGGCAAATTTATGGATATGGCACATTCACGACCGCTTCGTTTTTTTTTTTATTTCAAACATATATGTAGATGTGCACATAAAAGTGCTTTTCAAAACATGAACAAAACTGCGCTGTGACATGGATGCGTGCGTAATTGAATCGGCCACCATTGAAACCACAAAGTTCTGGCGACATCTCGGCTTTGCCAAGAATTCTGTGTTTATTATATTGTTGCATTTGCAAACATTCTCCGTCATGAACATACGAATGTGAGCGGGAGAGATAGTGAAGAAGGCGAAATGAAAAAAAAAATCGAAGAAGAAGAAAAAAATGTCATTATTTTGCACGATTTATTCATCGATTTCGTCACCATTCATGATGATTCATTTTTTTGCGTAAGTAGTCAGCTACCGTAACCCATAACACCAGCAGCATATAACCGTGTATCGATTATTTGAATTGATCTGATCCATTGAACTACGCTCCTTACGAACACTTACATATAAGCAACACAATTAAAGGAAGCCAACGAAATGAATGTGCAATGGAAAAGAGTACCAACAGGAAAACATGTCGCCAATTCGTTGTTGTTGATGCAAACCAAGAGAGGAAAGAAAAGAAAAAATGCCGCAAAATACACAAACGCACTTGACAAACAAACTGTTGCTTCGTTGGCTCATTGAAGCATATGCGTGCGCGAACGCGACCGCGCTAATTCTCATTTCAGAATCCACTTGTGCGTCTGGTGGAGTGAGTGAGTGCACATTGGTCGTGAAACGGCATTAAATTATTTGTATTGTCTGTAAATAAGTAGATTTTACGAGCAAAAAAAAAAACAAATAACGTGAATAAAACTCAACAAAATGGCAATCATCGTCATCTCTTGTGTTCTGTGTGCTGTTGCCATCATAATTTTCAATCATACATATATATCATTGTAGACAATGTTTTGTATTCATGAGCATAATTACTTTTTATGTAAATAAATAATATAGAGTATTGTGTGTATGTCTTGATGGTGTTGATCACGACCACAGCGACCGACGATGTTGGATGTAGTTGGTGGCTGAAGAAGGCGTCTCAATTTTTTCGCGTGCACATCAAACAAATCAACTTTAATACTATAATCAGCATTACACAAAATTCCATACGCAACAAATTGGTGAACGAACAAAACAAATAAAATTGAAGAAAAGAAAATGGAATATACGATCTAGCATACGATACTTTCAAACATCATTATGAACAATCATAATATGTTTTACATTGAACCTTAGAGCATTTGGGCGCGCACATAAATGATGTGTTTATGCGTTGGTATTTCAATTCAATTATTACATTTTTAACTCAATTCGCACGAATATCGATTGTTTGTACAGGCAAATGCATTTCATTTCATCTTCATCACATCACAGACACACACACAGAGACAAATGAAAACAAAAACATTCCAACCACTCGTGAGCAGCAACATTATTGGCGACAGATTGCCTCGCCAGCTTCCTTTTTGCATGACATCAACTATACATTATGACATCAACTAACTATAAGGAAGAGAATCACGAAGATAACAAAAAAAAACAGATGAAGAATGACGGGAAATTCTTTTGTCAAAATTAAATTGAATTGCATATTCGTACTCGTATTCATTCGGTTTACGAAATTTCGATTGTGTATGTGTGTAAATTCATTTATTTGTAAACTAAAAGGATTAGATTTCTTCTCAGTCTCAGATTTCGGTGTCTCTATGTGTTGCAAAATGAGCATTTCGTACACTTTTTCGTACATTTTTGAGACTTGTTAATGTTGATGCACGTAATAATATATGTTCACGTTGGGATATGTCGAATGAGACAACGGCTAAGTCGAGAACAAACGAAAAAACCTAAATGAGAAAAGTATTTTAAAAAAATTCAATTTTTTTCGCTTTTTATCTCTTTTTCTCTGTGTCTCTCATAAGTATTGAATCATTTTTTAAAAAATTTCAAATACAATATGATCTCTAGTCCATCAACGAAGACAGAAATAGCATTTTATGTTTGCGCTTGTAATTTCAGTAAGCGCTTCCTTTTTTTGTACTCATTTTTCGCCCACTTTAAAAATGATGTGTTTTTTTGGTTGTTATTCGTTTTATTTTCTTTTTCCCTTTCGTCTAATTGCAATTCAATTACCGGCATGTTCAAGCGATTCATCTACAGTTTGCTTTTTATTTCAATGTCTTGCATTGTATCACATCGAAATTTGGTCTTGTTTTCTCCATCTTTTTTCTCTATTTTTTTTTTTCGTTGATAGCGATTCGTAAAGTTAAAATGTAAAGTCAAAAATGATGTATTTTTTTTCTCGAAATTGATGAACTCGAACGGTATACGCAAAAAATACACAAACAAAATCGCTCTCGATCTCATTTTTACTGCGTAGTGTGACTAAGTATGAGACTTAGTAATAAATTTCGTGGTTTAATTTGGTTCAAACCAAACCATTTAGCATACACACGTACACACACATACGAAAAGAAACGATCAATTTGTTTTCTTCTTCTCTGTCGGAGCTAGCAACGCCAACTGCTTCACATATGGAATGTGAACAACTCGAAATTGTGTGTTTTTGTAATCATTCATTCATGCATTCAACTAATGCTTCTGTTTATCACTTGAAGATGTTTTTCTTTTTGAGTGCGATCCACCTTGCCATCGATTGAATGAAGGAAAAAGAAACCATACACAAGTACTCAACAAAACGATGATCATCATAACCGAGTCAGAAATACAAAAAAAAAATAATAATAATTTTGTTTTCTTTCATTGGTCGATGGTGATAAGGTCGCTGGAAGTAAACATCATTGAATTGTATGTAATGGTTTGATGATTAAGCGCGCATTGCGACTGCTTAAAAATAGACAAACATCGTAAATATATGTGTAAATAAATCAATTTTGTTGAACTTCACAATCAATTAGCGATTATGCATTAACAAATTGACCCAAAGAAGACGACAATTCATGAATCGATTCAAAATATAACACTCTCACTAACTCAATCGCTCGCTAACACACATGCATCCGAAAATTATGTGATGCTTACTTTGCTCTTCTTTTTTTTGCTTGAGTCATTTGGCGCGCTCATTTAAGCTACCGAATTATTCAAACTGTACACACAAAAAAAGTTCAAAAACAACAACAACTACATTTTCGCTGACACATTAAACTAATATACGCACACAATATTCTCTCTCAACACTGTTTGAGTTACGATCGCTTGCCTATTCGCAAATAAACATTCGCATTTCGTTCCCCGGCAGGGCTTAAAAGTCCGACAGTGCGGAATGTGTAATTTATTCGAAAATAAATTACGATACCGCGAAATGTACACACAACGAAATTAAATGAAAAAGAAGCAAACAGAGAAAATAATAATGGTGCAAATTGAGGAGGTAAGACTTAATTTCGGGTATTTGGCTTACACAAACACAATTCGTTTCATAGGTATTTTTCTTCTTCTTTATTTTTTTGGTTCAAACTGATTTATCGTACTAATGCTCTTTCTATTTCATTTGGATATAAATCATGGAAGATGGTGATCGTTTCCAATATATATATATACTTTTTTGTTTCTTCTTGTTTTGTTCTGAAAGACTGTGTTGCTTTTAAGTCGATTTGAAAAATTGCCTGCATAGAATACACGGTGAATAAAAGTGAAAATAAGCGCATTTTTCTCTCACGACCAACTGCGATCTTCAAATTCGATGATCGAAATTCCAATATGAATAGCCGGCATATTGAAGAAATGGGCAAACGCGTGTCAATCGATCACCACTATTCAATGTCAATTATCTACCATGATTGATTGCGATCATATCCATTTAAACCACTTTTTTTCTCTCTCTTCATCTCGTTAGTGGTGTGCGCAATAATTTTGATCGTTTTGAATTGATACAAATGAAATGTATAAAAAAAATCAGACTGGTTTATCACATGAAAATCACTTGCGATGGACACTTTTTAATAAAGATTTTTTTTTCATTCTCTATCAAATCACTGGACGCGAAAAAAAATTCAAAAAAAATATACAGCACAAAATATATCCCAGAAAAATCCGCAAAATTCGTTGAAAAAAATAAACAATTGATGAAAATTTGAATAAACCACACACCAATTTATTTAGTCGCTTTTCATAATCGATAATGAAAAAAACGTACAACGGTCAATAACTTAAAACCAAATGGCCAATCAAATGACTAAATTAAATTGAGCCAAAAAAAATATTGTATTAGAATAAGAAAACACCACAAGCAAAACCGTACGAAACACACAAACGCACCGCACAAAATCTGTTTTGAAACTAAAATAACCGAACGAAACGAAATCGTACTGAAGCCAAAACACTCGCGTTGCATTGAAGACATGGTGTGTATGTGTGCGCGTGGACGTGTGTATGAGTGTTGTGTGAATGTATGCAGAAGCGACGGTTGGAATAGTCCTATCTTTGCTGTTGGTGCCACAGATGTGTGTTGCGCGACTATGTGTGCCAAACTGCTGTGTGTGCACAATGAGGAAAGAGGAATAGAATTGAAATCGAATAGAGAATAGTAGTTGATTCATTGTTTATTGGTGTCAGTATTTGGCGGCACGTAAACGGTTTGAAGATTCAAGAAGAGAATCGACTCGATGGAAACAATTTTTTTTTTAAACAACAATAAGCAACTATCGTCGATAGTTTTATTTTCGTATAATTCATTCATTTTCTGTTTTCGTCCGTAGAATTTGTTTGTAAGAAACCTATTCGGTGTGTGTAATGCACTTCCTAGTCTACAATTCTGAGTCAATCGAACATAATTTTGGTTTTTATACAGAAAGTAATTGATAAGGTCGTATCAATTTTTTTTAACCAGACAACATCTTCACTATCTCATTATAGATAAAGTGACACATTTTTCATGTTGTTTTGATTCATTTTCCCATTCATTTGAATCGCTGAAAAAACAACACATACCCAAAAGTACAAAATGTTGATGAGAATACGGAGAATTCAGACGAATATCAATAACATTTCGCGTCCCCCGAATTTGATTCGAGAATTCTCTGGAAATCAATAAATTCACTCAAAATCAATAAAGCTATTCAGAATAGTAGTTAAATCAGCGAATTAAAATTGATGTAAAAAAAAACATCAAAAGAAATTGAAACATATCATTAGATCACCAAAACTTGTTTGAGAGAATTGGCTCAAACAATTTTTGGCTCGTATTTTCAAATTTGAATCGAAACGGTATTTCCCATGTTGTACGACAAAAACATTCGCATGACAATGAACAGTTCCTCGTGCATGGCTGTTGTTCTTGACATTTTATCACAACAAAACTCATCCGAAGCAGTATGCAAAATAGTTTGCTGGCAAATTGAATGCTAATCGAAAGCTCTTTGTATGGCCACATGTGAGTGTGTGTGTGTGTTGTAAGCAGTGACGATGAGTAATAAATATCGTGTCATAATTTCTGCCAAATCTGAAATGATCTAACTATGAAACAATCTATGTTCTCTGTGAATGTTTCGTTTTTCCCAAATGACCTCTAAAATTTATTTTATCGTTGACACATTCATTGCTCGATCATGTAATATATTTATTGCTGCTTTTACGAGTAAGTTTAATTTTAGTAGAGCATCAAAAGTGATGAGAGAATATCGATCGGAGAGCGACTGATCGGAGTTTGGCATATTTTTGCAGGTCTGATATTTTGATAGTCTGTTGAAATGATCTTTTACTCATTGTCTCTCGGGTGTCGGCGTGCGTGTATTTGCAGCTTGGAACTAAACGCCGTTCAGAACAATAAAACTAAATGACTGCACAAAGCTAAAAAGCCGATAAACTATATCTTGATTGGATTCACTCACGATTTCATTAAGCCAAAAGCAATTAGCAAATTGAACAAGGCAACCAATATGCACGAATACAAAGTGTGCTCGTGTAAGACACAATCGCGTAACACACATAATATGGTAAACAGGGCGCGCTAGCATGTACTTAATGTCAGAACTCGTTGTGATTACAAACGGTTATGCTGACGAAAGAATATTGAATATAATATTAGGAAATCATGTACACGCGTTTATCCCACAGCAATTTGATGCGATTTCTCTTGCACAAAGGATTTTTAACTGTCCACCAATGGGCAAACTTTTGTAATTGGCAGAAACAGACACCGCTCATACAATCCAGATAAATGAAGTAATTTTTAACTGATAACTGCCGATTTAGCCGATAGAATGAAGATTTCACTAGAAACCAGATGAAAGCAATTTCCAATCCGAAGCGAACACGAACACGCACACACAAAATGCTTTATACGGTTAAATAGTTTTGCAACTACGATGGCATTGAACAAATTACAAAATCTTCCTTTTGCGATGTATAACCATTTTTTCCCTTTTATGATGACCTTCGATGGAAAATGCACGATCCTATGGGTTTGATCGAAGTGTCTACGAAAGCAACAATTCAATTTCCATATTTGTTTGTTTTTTAATCACTTCGATTGAGCCGCATTTATATCATGTTAACTTTGTGTGTCTTGTTATTTTGAATGTTTCGTTTTTCCGTTTGTTGTTGTGTATTTATAATCACTGAGTCAGTGCCATTGGCGCGTTCAAATCACGATTAGATTTATAATTATTACATATTGCATTGGCGAGAATTTATCAATTGAATAAAAAAAGAACGACTATAATACAATAAAGAATAAATGTTATTTCAACAACTCGTTCGCATATTAAATTGTGCAAATTTTGCAAATCGACGTAATGCCCGATAGAAATGAATACACCAACATTCCAGCCAACCAGAGAGTATAGTGAGACTGACTGAGATTGATACAGACAGACTCTACTCTTTTTTTTGTAAGTGTAAAAAATAAAATGGTTTTATAAATAGAAATTGTGTGAGATTGAATTTGAGTTGCATGTTAGTTGTGGTTAATACAAGCATATTTGGATATTGGTTTGGTGTTACATTTGAAGCGTGAAACAGAGAGACGAATGAAAATGAACGTGCCCAAATTGATAATAAAAACGCTTTTTTTGGGATGCAAGCCAAAATGTTCATAATAAATTCGTGGCTGTTAACAGATTTTGCACACTGAAAACTGAATTGTTGATATGCGATGGCTTTTTGGACGGTGTTTCGTCCCCGATTCGCCATTTACTGGCACACTCACAACACAACGATTTGCACACGGGTCGTGCCCATATTCTTTGAAATGAAATACATTTTTTTTTCGCTGAAATTTTTTATTCTCATTTCTTGAGGTTTTTTTGGTGAGCCCGTCTGCAGTGATAAAATATTCGCACGCAACAGTCTCATTCGTTTGCAATTAATATTGGACGAACCTAAAAATATAATTTCAACGATCTATCGTTCACTGTTTCTGTGATGCTTTCTCTCTTCCTTTGCATCTCTCCGTCTTTCTGTATCTTTCCATCTTCGTTTTTTTGTCTATTTAACGCAGGCGTACGCAAAAAATCGCACTTCAAATTCTTGACACTATAAATATAGTTTATTAGGTTTGTGCGAAAAACGTCGTGCGTCTTATGTGTGTGAATGTGTGCCTGCAACGTGCACTGATTCGATTCAGCTTATACTAGTGGCGATCGAAGGATTCATTCATTTTTTTTTTGTTTCCGGGGACATTGATAATTATGAAGCGTGAAAATCACGATCTAAATGGTTATAAATCAATGATCATTCGACGACCGGTTGAATTCACGCTGTTGACTCAGTCATATTTATCGATATCTAATTTAACCAAATTGAAAAGATTAAAGCAACAACAACAACGCTCATTTTGATTCAGTCGAATGATTCACATTCAATTATTCATATAAACGATGATTAATACATTCATTGATTGTTACGGAGTCGTGTAAGCTTTATAGAATATTTAAAATAACATTTTTTTATTATTATTTTCCCAGAATCTCTTTTACCCGGGGCAATGTTTTTAGCATTTTAATTATCGCACAATTGATAAGATTCATGTATTCTTTTTCCATCATATAAACGAAAAAAAAGTCACCTTGACTCGTGATTTGGATGATAAAGTTGTGTCCGAATTCTATTTAAAAAAAAACTCTAGTAATAAATTATATAGCATTTTTTACCTCAAAGTCGCACTCACTTTTTCTTTGTGTTTTGAATGTTATCGCATGAAATCTAAAATGTGTTTTATTGACTCCCAATTAAAATAACTGAAATATAATGTTTATGATCCAATCGAAAACAAAAAAGAAAACACCATCATATCATTTCAACATTTGTCAAGTACTTTTTTGTGCAATACTCATGCCTTCCAAATAGATCTATCTTTTACTCTCTTTCTCCCTCTTCCGCTCGCAATAACTATTTTATTCTTCTTGGTTTGCATTGATGCATACGAAACCCTGTGCCACATATCGGCGAGTGCAATTTTGTACAGTGGTAAATTTGGTAAATAAAAATGATGGGGCGCCCTAGTTTTAGCTCGATAAAAATCGTAATGGTGTGCATTGCACTATCGAATGATGTGCATCATAGTGATGATGTCATTTGTGGCAAATGGTATTTTTTTTTCTATTTCAGCCACTAATAACTAGTGCTATCAGCATGTAACTTAATGGCTTGGCGCTAGAGAACTGGTTGCATTTCAGGTTGCCTTATCTCTGTGTTTGTGAGAGCGATTGTATGCGATGTAAAAACCTTGGGTTTATGTGTGTGCCAGCAAAATCGTTGTCATCGAGCCACAAGATTGACCTTTCACTTGTTTGTGTTGACAGACCGAGAGGGAGACAGAGAGGCGGTGAAAGAAATAGTAAGAGTATTTTCTCGTCGCCTGACTGGCGTTCAGGCAGAGAAAGAGATATTTCTGTCGACAGTACCGAATGTGTACTTCTTGTTTCCCTTTCGTTCTCTTTAATCAGATTCTTAGTGTGATTTTTCTTCGTTATTTTTCTTTTTGCACCAGAAATGTTTCGTATATTCCGCCAAAACTGTGCCATGAGTTCGCACTTCGAATTGAATGCATCCAATGTGTGTTATCATTCATTAGTGTGTTTTTTTCTTTATTGCACGACAATGAACTCAATGTTACTAGTGGACACATCGATTTCCATTGTGCATGCATGCATTTGAATTCAAATGTTCGCATTCATAATTGATTTTTTTTTTGTTATTCGCGATGCTGATTTCGGTTCACGCTTTCGATGTAAATGCGCGAATGCGCACTCATATATGTGCTAAGCAGTTGCAGTCGATGATGTAATTGTGGTTTTTCATTGAGTTTCATCTTTTTTCGGTCAA